GACCCGGGCCGCACGCATGCCAGGCAAGCATGCTACCGCTTGAGCCACATCCCCAGCCCTGGAATTTTCTTTTTGGAAAAATTTTTAGTTCTGAATCCAACTAATTTTATAAATATAAGACTATTCAGATTTTATATCACTTGTTATCTGGGCAGAAAAGAGAACTAGATCACATTTGGTTTTGTTTGTTTTTATGGGGATTGTCAAGAGGTTGGGAGAGAGGGTGTTTTTGGCAAAGACAACCATGTAAATAAGCAGATGTCAAAACTGGAAAACAGTTGATTTACTAGATAGATAATATTTTTAGGAAGAATGGTAAAAGAAATAATGAGAAGGAAGGTTGTAAAAGTTCTCTGAACCATAAGAGATATAGAGGCATGATCAATGGTGTAACCAAAATAAGGTAATCAAAATATGAAGAGTAGCCAAAATATTGTATAAAATAGGAATGAAAAAAGTTCCATTGGGCTGGGATTATAGCTCAGTGGTAAAGTACTTTCCTGGCATGTGTGAGGCGCACTGGTTCAGTGCTCAGCACCACATATAAATAAATAAAATAAAAGGTCCATTGACAACTAAAATATATATATAAAATACATGTATTTTTTAAAATCTCATTGGATATAACAGAGGAACATTATTTCCCTGCTGACATTAAAATGCTCATACTTTTGCAAATCTTTTTATTTTTAACTTAACATCCTCTTCTGCTGGTGGGCTTTGTTAAACCTATTTGACCTCCAATCTTTCCCACTTTAACTTCAAGTTCTTCTGCTTTTTTTTTTTTTTATTCTCCCGAATCTTGGTGTTCTTGGTAGCTAAAGATAATGAATCTGACTCCCTTGTTTTGAAGTTCTGTGGAGGACTTTTTACATAGATTTTGGATATAAAAAGTAATGTTGTTTCACATAATTTTTCTTTGGGCTATCATCCATTTGATAGGAACATTAATTTTTAGTGCCTCCTATCTGTGCATTAGGTGTGAGATTAATTGCTCCAGAAAGGATTCATTGACTGATGGGGCAGTCTAGTTACAGCAGGGAAAGGGTGGTTTGGCCATTTGATGAAATTTTCTGGCTTGGCCATTTGATGGAATTTTTTGTCCAATTGTGTCATTGTTTTTGGTTCCATCCAAACATGATAATACGGCCAAGGAATTTAGAGTCCAGAGTCATAAACCTTGGCCATTAAAAGGCTGCTGATTGTAGAGGTTTGATGGATATCTCTTGTGTTAGGGCTATATGCTGATCCATCAAATAAAATACAAAATAGGGCTGGGGACGTGGCTCAGTGATTGAGTGCCCGAGTTCAATCCTCGGTACCATAAAAATAAAAACAAGATTGAGTTGACAGGAGCTTGTGCAAGAGCATAGGCTTTTTTTAATTTTTTTAATCTATTTTTAAGCTTCTGGTTTCTTTACTCACAAATTTTGAGTATGTATACTTTTTTAAAATAGCAGTCTGCATAATGACTTCTCAGAAAAAGTTATTATACTTAAGATTTACTCATTGTAGTCTTTTTGATGACATTCTTATAAATGACCTCTCAGATTCATTGTACAAATAAAATAAAACTTCTTTTTAGTTGTATTTTCAAAAGAATGTAATGGAGTAAATCTGTTTTATTAATCTGAATATCTAAGCCGGTTTTTACCTGGAAACCATGCTTGTCTGGTTTTTTTTAGCTAATATGTCTTCTGTCCCAAATTCTGGTATACAACTTAGTGAATATGAATTATACTTTTAAATTCATATGTGAGGTATTAGGTGGCTTCTTTCATTTTTGATGTAATTTTCACTGTCTTTGTTTTGAAGCTTCTGCTCAGCCTGTTGATAATCATGTTAGCCCATCTTCCTACTTGGGCCAGACACCAGCATCACCAGCCAGATACTCACCAGTTTCTAAAGCAATGCTTGGAGATGATGAAATTACTAGGTAAGTAAGTTAACATTTATCTTATAAAAATCATTTTTAAATGGAATTTTAATCAGCCACAATTTTTAGGACTAAAAATATCCTTGAATATTGATGAACTTAAACTTTAATTGTTTTTTTCTATTGGAGGGTTCATTGAAGATTTTTTTTCATTGCAGATCATGAAATATAAAAATATTTTGTATTATAAGTAAGTTACTGCTCCCATTTTAAGGTTTGGCAAATTGTCTTTTGAAATAAATCTAAGTTGGGAATATACTTGTGCATATTTTATACTAACTTTTCATATATTTCTTATCTAATATATGCCTTACAGTATTAGGACAATTGATTTATGTTCAGAATTCAACAAGTGGTATTTGCTTTGTTTGATAGCCTGACTGACATCTAAAGTTTTTTTCATCTAACATTACTAACTACATTGAACTTTGTAAGTCTTTTTAGTGCCAAAAAATTCTAAGGAGGAGGAAAAGAGTCAGTGAAAAAATATTTTAGCTCTGTTATTTTAAGTAGTATAAAAATACTATTACAGTTTGCTTTATAATTTACAGTTATAGCATTTTTCATTATGTATATGCCAGTTAATATCTGTTCTCAAATTTTCATTAGTTACATTATTGTTAGCATTATTATTTTTGAAACTCTGTATTTGAAATAATTGTAATTTTTCTTGTCAGACTCCTAACTTCTTAGGCAGTACTCGCATCAGGGACAGATAGGAGTGTTTGTCTTGTAAGAGTTATGTTGGGAACAAAATAGGTGCCTTAGTAATTGTGTTTGGAATGAAAATTAGCAGAAAGAATAGTGTTTTTACTTGTGATATAAATATTCAAGGCTTTTAGTCTTCAAGCAGTATTCCTATAGAGTGATTCATGGCTATTTGTTATTTGCTAATAGTGCCTAATTATAGGTTTATCTAGTCTTCAGTCTCTTTAAATATTTTGCAAAACTAAAATCTAAAAGTTATATTTTCACCTTTATTGCTGTCCCCATCCTTCTTCACTGCATATGTGTTGTACCATGTTGTATTAGACTTTGAAGTATTTCACACACATCTAACAATTTCCATTCTTTTCTGCAAAAATCAATTGATTGACTATTAGATATGTCTTAAAATAGTGTGCATTTTATCATTCCTTTTGCCCAGATAATGAAGTATGAAAATCTTGCCCAAACATAAATTCTCCACAATTTTTGCCTAAGCAGTCTTTCAGAAGATATCTCAAATTACCAAACCAACCCCCTCCCCCCCCATAAAATTACAGCATACAGACAATTAATGTTTCTAAAGCTCATTTGTTAAGTTTTATTAAGATGTAATTTACATACCATAAATTTCATGCATTTAAAATGTACAACTCAATGAATTAGGGTATGTTACATCACTTTTTAATTATGATAAAATAAATATAGCATGTAGATTTAACATTTTAACCATTTTCAAATGAAGAGTTAATTACATTCACAGTTTTGTACAACCGTCCCCATTAGCTATTTCCAAAACCTTTTCATCATCTTGGATAGTCTATAACCTTTAAGCAGTTCCATCCCATTGTCCTTCCAGCTCCTGGTAATATCTATTTTCTGTCTTTCTGTATTTGTCTAATTCAGGTAATTCACGTAAGTGGGACCATACAATATCTGTCCTTTTGTGACTTTCTTATTTGACTTAATATAATTTTTCAAAATTTATTCATTTTGTAACATGTATCAGAACTTCATTTCTTTTTTTGTTTAATATTCCATTCCATTGAATGTATGTTACATATATGAAATATACATACAATTAGATGTATAGATATTAGATAAATATAGCTAGATAAATATAGAGTTACATTTTGTTTATCTACCCATTGTTGGTGACTTGGATTGTTTCCACTTTTTAGCTATTGTGAATTATGATAACAAGTATTTGTTCAAATCCCTGCTTTTAGTTACTTAGGCTACCTGGGTGGAATTTTCTTTTTTTTTAATGTTACCTTTTTAAGGAACCACCAACCTATTTTATGTTCCCATAAATAATTTGTGAGTATTTCAGTTTTTTCACATCTTACTGACACTTGTTACTTGGTCTAGTTTTGTTATTGTCATCCTGGTAGATATGAATTTTACGTTTTCCTAATGACTTATGGTGTTAAGCATCTTTTCATGTGCTCATATTATTCAAAAATCAGAATGTGTATTCCTCTAGAACTACTGTTGGGTTTCAGCAGGCTATTTTTAAATTATTATTTGCTAATGTAAAATTGTAATTCATACTTGTTTTAAAATAGGAGCTCCAAACCATGAATCCATTATTTAACATAGGAAATAAAATATCAACAATATACTGAAACTTATCTGTGCCCCTGATCCTACCCTGCTTCTCCTATACTGCCCCCTCTAAGTTATTGTTTTCCTAAATTTTATTATCTTTTTCCTTCATATGTGTATATGTATTTTATTACATATAATATATATGATATATTTTATAAAATATATGTGTACACACACATATATATAATATTTCCCCAAACAATTTTTGTTTAGTTTTACCCTTTTTTTTTTTTTGTACCAGGGATTGAACCCAGGGACACTTAACCACTGAACCACATCCCCAGTCCCCTTTTATATATTTTATTTAGGGACAGAGTCTCACTGAGTTTAGGGCCTTATTAAGTTGCTTATACTAGCTTTGAACTCGCAATCTTCTACCACTCCCAGCTAGTTTTACTGTTTTTAACAAATAATTTTATGAATCCCTTAAGTGAGCTGGCAAAATCGAATAATGATGAACACTTAATATGTCTAGAAAATACTATTTTAAGTTTTGAGCAGTATTAAGTATTTAAGGAGATTTTATTACTATTCTGTATTATAAGGAAGAATCCTTAAATTTATTTTTGAAGAGATTTATTTATTAAAGCTTTTGTGACTAATTACTTCTTACAATGTTTTAGAAAATCATTAAATTTTTAAAATGTTTACCAAATATCACATATTTAAGAATAATCTCAAATGATAGTCTGTATTTCATCAAATATTAAAGTAATTTGCTGTTGGCACTTTCATGGTCTTACCAGAAGATGTGAATAGTTTTCACATCGTTGTGTCTGAGTGCCAACAATTTTGAAAAATTATCAATGGTAAGCTGTATTAACATGTGCAGGGAATAATGAGGGGGGCAGATAAAATGCATCTTACTTAGAGCTGACAAAAAACAGTAATAAATTTTTAAAAATCACAAATCATGGCTTACACTAAAAGTTTTTTGCTTGTTTTGTTTTGTTTTGTTTTTGGAGACAAGGTCTCCCTATGTTGCCTGACTGGTCTCAAACCTGTGGGTTTAAATGATTCTAACTCCTCAACCTTCCAAATAGCTGGGACTGCAAGTATACACCAGCACACCAAATTTAAAAAAATATTTCATATAAAAACTCTGAGAGGCAATTCCAAGATTGGTGTAGCAACCTTAGGCCTGTATGTTTCTGGCATATTCTTAGTTTTAACTTTATGTTTATAATATATCTAAACAAGTAGAAGGGTTTTATTAATAGTTCATTCCTTTTTGTGTGGAGTTTTTTAAGAAGGGGCAGAAGGTAGCAAAATGTGGTTCATTCTTGTTAAGGTCTGTCTTTCTTTAGGAAATTTTCCTTTTTATTCCTCAGGTCAGAAGGGAGTCACACCCTCCTTTTAGTAAAAAGAAGTAAGATTGCAATAACCAGATTAGGTTATTCATTATTCATTCCTTTGGAACTACGAAGGAGGCCTACCTCCATCAAGAAAAAGAAATAGCTGCTTTTTACAACACTGCCTCAGAGGCAGTCAAGTGCATGCAACTTTTTTGTTAATTTCAAATTCTTTTTTCTTTATTGTTTTGATTTTATATTTTTTCCTTTTGTTTTTGTTTTTTTGTGGGGTTTTTGTTTGTTTTATTTGTATCAGGGCTTTAATCCAAGGGTGCTTTAAGCACTGAGCCACATTCCCAGCCCTTTTTCTTTCTTCCCTTCCCTTCCCTTTCACCTTCCCATTTCCCCCTTCACCTTCTTTCCTACCAACCTACTCATTCCTTCTATCCTTCCTTCCTTCTCTCCTTCCTTCCTTCCTTCTTTCCTTTCTTCCTTCTTTCCTTCCTTCCTTTCCAACAGAGTCTCACTAAGTTGCTTAGAACCTCACCAAGTTACTGAGACTGCAAACCTGTGATCCTTCTGCCTCAGCCTCTCAAACTGTTGAGATTATGGGCATGTACCACCACACCCAGCATGTTTGCTTGCTTTTTAATAGAAATTTTGAGCTTTTGATGAAATTAGATTTTTTTCTTTTGATTATTTAAGGCTTAGAAGAATCTCTTTATCTCACAGTTTTGAAAAACCCTTTGTTTTTCAACTAGCTTTTTTAATACTTTGATAACATAATACCAAAGTTATCAGTAGGAAGTTCTCACCAATAGAATGCCAGATTCTAAATTAAATTTCCAAGTTATTTAATTTAATTTAATTTTTTGATTTTTAGGGAACCTAGAAAAGTTGTTCTTCATCGTGGCTCAACAGGCCTTGGTTTCAACATTGTAGGAGGTGAAGATGGAGAAGGAATATTTATTTCTTTCATATTGGCTGGAGGACCTGCTGATCTAAGTGGAGAGCTCAGAAAAGGAGATCGTATTATATCGGTAGGATATGTTAATCAAGTAATCAAGATGATGTCTTTATTATTATAACTATAACCTTTTAATGATTAAAAGTAGATTTTTTATAACCCAAAGTTATGGGTGTAATTGATTATCTTCTTACCATTTTAAAATTGAATTGCAGAATTATAACATTGTTAGAGAACATGTTCTATATGACAGATTTTCTTTTGATACATGATACAAGGAGGTGGTCAGTGTTTATAAATGTGTTTGAAGGAAGGTTTGTTTTTGTTTTCGTTTTTGTTTTTATTTGGCTTGTTATTATCTTTTTCCCTCTTTTTATTTTCAGTTTGTCTATGTTTATGTTGTTATTACCCATTCAGTTTTAGACCAAAACTGTAATAGTTTTGTAATCCTCCCTTATGATCACAGAGCTTGAAAAACTTTAATTTTAATTACGCTGTTTCTAATGTATTAATTATTTCAGTTTTATACCCCCAAATTTATTTTTATTATTTATTTATTTATTTTGGTTTTGGTATTTGACATTTTACCCACGTGATATATGGTTTGTTGTTGATGTTGCTAATCACCCTCCTTCCCGCCCCCCCAGGTTTCTCAGTGGACTACTAATATAATTTGGATTGGGTAGTTATTTGTTATATAGGACTATCTTTGTAGCTTCCATCTTTTCCATGATCCTTAGTCATTGTAAAAGCAAATATGTTCTTCAAATATCCAGATATACCTTAATGAGAGCTCTTGGTTTGTTTTTTCAGCAATGGTTCCTTAATGATAAGGAAGTTCCTTAGATTTTGTCTGAAAATTCTTTATTTTGTACTCTTTTATTTTTAATCTAGAATTCTAGGTTGAAAGCTCTTATCTCTAAATGCTTTGAAGATATTGTTTTATGCCATCTAGATTGTTTATTTGCTATTTTTTTAAAAAAGCCTGCTGCCTTGTTTATAGGTAATTTCTTTTCACTAGTTGCTTTCAAGATCTCTGTCTTTAGTGTGCTGCAATTTCACTAAAATGTGTGCATATCTAGCATTCATTATGTTTAGGATACATTACTAAATCAGGAATCATGTTTTTCATCAATTCTGGAAATTCCTTAGCTATTATCTTTTCAAATTTTGCCTTCCCACATTATACCTATTCTGTCCTTATTGAATTCCTATGGGTAGATGTTATTCTATTCTTCATGTATTTTAACCCCAATTTCATATTTATGAACTGTCTCCTTCTAGTTCATTTCCATCATTTCCTCAAGTCTATTTTCTAGTTTATAAGCTTTCTTCATTTATATCCAATCTGCTTTTTAAGACAAAACTAAGATTTTAACTTGAGAGTATCATTTTTTTTTCTAGACATTATCTGGTTATTTTTACAGTCTGCCTTGGTATTTTTGATAGGGTCTTGATAACTTATGCCTTTTTACTTGATTTCAGGATTTTCTACTAAATATACTTGTTCATTTTTTATATATAATAGTTTTATTTTCTGGCCAGGAACAGTGGCACACACTTGTAATCCTAGTGACTTGGGAGGCTGAGGCAGGAGGATCATGAGTTCAAACCCAGCCTCAGCAACTCACCAAGGCCCTAAGCAACTCAGCAAGACCCTATCTCTAATAAAATATTTTTTAAATGGCTGAGGATGTGGCGGTGGTTAAGTGCCCCTGGGTTCATCCCTTGTACTAAAAAAAAAAAGAAAAAGAAAATGTTTTATTTTCTGAAGTTCATAGGTATCCAATATATGATCTATTTTAGTGATTTATGGTGAATTTTTTACACATGTTCTAAATTTTGCATTATGAGGTGATTTTTTTTGTAGTTGTTGTTTGTGTGTGTATGTTTCAGTAGAACTTTATTACTTTATTGATAAGAAGCCAGTACTACCAGAATTCAGGGTAATGGTGTTCAAATAAGCTATTTTACATTACTTGTGGTAGTATCCCAGGATCATCATCTCTAAAAAAATTTTTTCCAGTGACAAAACTAATATTTTGAGGTTTGTTTACCCTTAATAACAAATAAATGGGACGGTTAGATTTACCATAGTAAATATAGTATTCATATAGTATTCATGCTATACTGTTTTGTTTTTAATTAAGAAGTGTAAGTTAACACTTTCTGGAACTTCAGAACTTGAGGTATAGAGACAAGCTTTATTATCCCGGGTCAAGACCAGTGCTGTACATTATTATTATTTTAAACCATTTCTTTGACATAAACCAAAAGAGACCTTTTAACTACAAAATACAAACAAAAAAAAAGGGAAAGAAACTAATCAAATTAAAGATAAATGTGACTGGAAACAATAGGAAGCACATTCCAGAAATATAAATTGCATCTTTAATGCAGTTTTCAGATCAATCCCTATCACCATCTGAATTTCCTGTGTACAGACTTAGATGTACCAACCTACTCCTGCATCCTGCCCTATTGAGGATCCTGTAGAGTTCAATGATAGGAAGAGTAGAAGAAATGACTGATCATTTACCAAAAAAAAAAAAAGAGTAGAAACCAATTTTTAATTGTTTCAACTAGTGTTTAAATGAAAATAAATCTTGGGCACTTGAGTTTTCAAATATGCAGCAAGCAATTCTTTATTAAGGATTATGCACTAAATTAGAAAATAACACTATTAATAGACAGTGCTACTAAATGAAAACTGCATTTACATGTTTAAGGCTAAATAATTTTAAAAGCATAGTACTAGTACTCCCCAAGAATAGTAATTATTGCAAAAGAGTTTTAGGGCAAAAATAGAGCCTTCTTGCAGTATTAGGATATAGAAAGGCTCAAGAATCCATCACTTTTTTTCTTTTTCATAGTACTAGGGATTGAACCCAGGGTCTCATACATGCTAGGTAAGCACTCTATCATAGACTACATCCCCAGCACCAAGAATCCATCACTTTTAACCTAACAAAACAATCTGGTAAGTAGGTTTGGTGGCACACACCTATAATCCCAATAGTTTGGAAGGCTGAGGCAGGAGAATCACAAGTTTAAGATTAGCCTCACCTGTCTCAAAATAAAAAGAATTGGTAGTATAGCTTAGTGGTAGAGAACTTCTGGACTCAGACCCAATGCTACCAAAAAAGCTAAAAATAAAATAAAATGATTATAGTAAAACCATGATGGCAATAAAAAATGCTTAAGGATCCAGAGGTAAAGATAATAGGAATGAAGAAATGAAGGAATTTCAGTAAAGACATAGAAACTACAGAAAATGAATCATATGGAATTGCTACCAGTTAAAAACTATCAGAGATGAAAATTTTATTTAAAAAAGACTTAATAATACACTGAAATCAGCAGAGGAAAGAATCCATACACTTGAATGTAGATAAAAGGAAGTTTCCAAATTGAAACATGGAGTGGAATTGCAGATGTTAAAAAGAAAAGTCAACACAAAGCATGCAAAATGTGTGGAACAAAATTAGATAGCATCTCTACAGAAGAGGAGACAGAATTTTTTTAAAGAGAAGATAAAAAAAAAAAAGACCTAACAAAAGTGATGAAAAATATCAACCCACATATCTGTGAAGCTCAGGATACGTAGAAAACCAGACCTGTCTACATCACAAAGTGCTAGAAACCTGCACTTTGGAGCATGACTTAGAAGCAAGCATAAAAATAACATATTCCACATACAGGAATAGCAATACAAATGTCAGCTGACTTTTCTCTAGACACATTAGAAGACTTAACACGATTTAATGGTGTGTTTACAGTGCTGAAATAAAAAATTGTTAATGTGGAATTCTGTATACCGAGAAATATTCATCAGAAATGAAATAAAGACACGGACAGTAGTGGAGAGAATTTGTCATCTTTTGCAGATCAGTAAGAAAATATTGAAGAAATTATCTTGATTGAAGAGAAATTGTACAGATGGAACCCTAGATCTGCAGAAGGAAATTAGGAAATACAGAAAAAAGGAAAATTCCTGAGTAAATATAAAAGATCTCTTCTTAAATTTTTAAAAATAATTTTAGATATTACTCTATTGGACTATTGATAGAAAATAAAAGCAGTGTAGGGAATGCAACTTGTATAGAAATAAAAAATAAGACCATCACAACACAATTGGAAAGGAAAGATGGGATTATATGGTTATTTCTTACATAGTTTTGTGAAGTGGTGTAAAATTGGGGGGAAATAATTTGTAGCTACATATTATTATATCTAGTGAACACACTGAAAACACCACAAAGATATGTATAGTTTTGAAATCAATACAGGAGATTAAATGAAAAAAAAATAAATGTTACACACACACACACACATAAAGGGAAGTGTGATTGTCAGCTTTCTGTTACTGTGACCAATATATCTGACAAGAGCAACTTAGGAAAAGTTTATGTAGGGCTTATGGTTTCAGAGGTCTCAGTCCATGGTCAAATGACTCCATTGCTTTTGCCCTGGGGTGAGGCAGATCATCATAGGGGAAAGGTGTACTTGAGGGAAGCTACTCAACTCCTGGCAACCAGAAAAGAGAGTAAGAGCATGGAAGGAAGGGAGGAGATGTAATCCCTAATGGCATGCCCCCAGTGACCTACTTCCTTTAGCCACACCCACCTGCCTATGGTTTCAGCCCAGTAGACCACTCAGATAATTAATCCAGCAAATGGATAGTTCTCCTAATCTGATCATTTCATCTGAACATTCCTTCATTGCCTAACACATGAACTTCTCATATCTAAACCATAACAGAAAGGAATATGCAGGGTAAGTTTAAAAAACAGTACTAAGATGAGAGATTGAAATCCAGTTCTGTTAATAACAGCATTATAGTAAAAACTATTTAAAATGCAGAAATTGTCAGTTTGGTTCACAAAAGCAAGATCTAACAGTTTCAGGAATTCAATGTGTTTTAAGTAAAAGGATGGAAAAAACTTCATCATGCAAAACACCATATGAAAGTACTTTATTAGTATGAGACAAAATAGATCTCAGGACAAATAGTGTTATTCTAAATATATTTCATAATAATAATAGCATTTTGTCAAGTTTTAGTCCTAAGTATGCACCTACCTAAGAATCCTTTCAAAATATATGAAGCAAAAATTGTGAAAACTTAGAAGAAAAATTCACAGTCACACTTGGAGACTGTAACACCCTCTTCTGAAATTGACGAAGTAAACAGACAAAAAGACTTTACCTCACATCATGTACAAAATTTAATTTGAAATTGATTGTAGATCATAGAACTAAAGTTATACGAGAAGGTGTACAAAAAAAATTGTTAATGAACTTGGATTAAGGAAATTTCTTAAATAGGATCAAAAGGACAGAGTCAGTTCAGTGAAAAGGGGAAAATCTTTTTAGCTAATAGTTCTGAAACAACTGGCTATCTAGTAAAAACATGAACCTGAAACAGTCTTACTCCAGACTTAAAACTTAACTCTAGATAGATTGTAGATCTACATGGAAAACCTAGAGCCATAAACTTTCAGGAAAAAAACATAAGAGAATATCATTGCAACTCTGGGTTAGACAGCAACTCCATAGACAAGTAGCATAAAACACTAATCATTTTTAAAAAAAAAAGATACCATTTAGAAACCAAACAGGCAAGCCATGCCATGGTAAAAAATATAATTAGTATATATATCTGATGAAAGACTTTTATCCAGTCTATATAAATATCTCCTACACATCAACAATAAAATAATTCGGAACCCAGTTTTAAAATGTGCAAAAGATTTGAACAGATATTTCCCATACGAAGATACATAAATTATCAATGAGCATGTAATACCTTTTCACATGCTCATTGATATTAGGCATCAGGGAACTTAAAATCCCAATGAATAAAGGGGTTTTGAAGGAATTGGGTAGGAGTGAAACAATTTTTCTGTATCTTGATTGTGGTGGCAGGTATGTGACATAAACATTTGTCCAAACTAAAAAATGCTGATGCCTAAATAAAAAATAGATTGGGCGGGGAGGGGTCTACTGGGGATTGAACTGAGCTACATCTCCAGCCTTTTTTAAATTTTTATTTTGAGACAGGGTCTTACTAAATTGTTGAGGGTTTCACTAAGTTGCTGAGGCTGGCCTCAAACTTAGAATTCTCCTGCCTAGCCTCCTGAGTTGCTGAAATAACAGGGATGTTCCACCACCCAGCTAAAAAAATAAATGTTTTTAAAGCCATTTGAAATACCATATCCCACCAAATTATATGGCTAAAAAAGAAATTAAAAAGCAACCTTTATTGGAGAGAATGTGGAGCCAACTCTCATTCATTACTGGTAGGTATATAAAGTAATATGCAATTATAAGAAGCTTTGGGAGACTGTCATAACTTGACCATCTTGTAGTTCCTAGAATAACATTTGCAAGGCTATCTATAATTTGACCTGATTCTAAGCTCCTCATAAAAAGCTTTTTATCCCAGGATAATTGTCAATATAAGAACAGGCACAATATAACTTCCTGAAGTATCTAATAATAGTTCTTGTAAACAGTAGGCTTATCAAAAAGCTTAAAAGAAAAAGCTGGAAAATAAATTCTCCACAGGGCCTTTGAAAACCTTCAACATATCCTTGAGATCTAGTTCAGGGCAGTCTCTCATCTCTGGTTGAATCTTGGGCTCTGTGTAAGCAGAAAGTAAAGATCAAGGCATGTTTCAACCGCCTGTCTGAATGTTGAAAGCCTACAAGCATTATAGAACCATTTGCAAAGAGTGGGGACTTTTTAATTCCAGGCAATTAATGAAATCTTTCCAATCATTAAGTAACCAGTAAGCTTACCTGGTGGAAAATTCAGTGGCCCCACACAACAAAGAATATGACCTTTGTGGAATTCCGAAAGTCACTAAACAAACAGCTATAACAAACAATAGCAGTAAGCCCCAGATAAAGTTGTGGGTCTCACATCCAGAGTTGCCAGATTTTATATTAAATGTCCAATTATCAACAAAAATTATGAGAAACACAAAAAAGTAATTACCCACACACAGGAGAAAAAAGCAAGTGATATAAATTATCCTTAGGGAAATCCACATGTTGAATTTCCTAGGCAAATGCTTTAAATCAAGTATTTTAAATATGTCAGTATTTAATATCTCCATCCCTTTTTTATTTTTTGAGACAGGATCTTGGTAAGTTGCCTAGAGCCTCACTAAATTGTTGTGGCTGTCCTTGAGCTTGTGATCTTCTTGTCTTGGCCACCTAAGTCACTGGGATTAGAGGTGTTCACCACCATACCTGGTTAAAAGATGCCAGTTATAACCCACAGCAACCACTAAGAAATGACTCAAATATGTGTAATGAAAGAAATGACAGGAGAATTTAAATAGTACACTAGAAACTTTCTGTTGAACACAAAAGAAGTAGTAATGGTAAACAAATAGCAAAATTTAAAAATCAAAAAATAGTAATGCAAAACAAATAGCAAAATTAATTATATGAGTCTACCAATAATTTGATTAAATGTAAATGGATTAACTGCTCCATTTAAAGGCAAAATCTGATAAGGTAGATTACAAAAGAGAATTCAATTTATATGCTGTCTCTAAGAAAGACTTGTTTGTTTGTTTGTTTGTTTGTTTGTTTATTAGTTATGTACCTTTATTTATTTTTATGTGGTGCTAGGGATCAAACCCAGTGCCTCACACACGAGATGAGCACCTTACCACTGAGCTACAACTCCAGCCCAAAAAAGACATTTTAAATTCAAAGACACAAAAAAGTTATAAATAGTTAGAAAATATATACTATACTATAAGAGTAACCAAACATTAAAAGTTTTAATCTTTTCTACAATAATTTATGAAAGTTTATCTGCCTTTAAATTTCCTTTCTAATTTGTTCTCCTGGAAATTAAGAGAATTTTCTTTATGCACGAATTATTTTGTATGTAACCATCTTCAGCTAGAGATATTTTCTGATAACCACATTATATTGCATTTATTTAGGTTGGGGTTTTCAGATCTTTATTTTTATTCACGAGTGGTGTGTTTGAATTTAGTTGCATTATAATGTCCTTATAGATAATATAAAGAAAGCATCAGATTTTTATATAGTTAAAGTGTTCCTTATGTAAAAATTTTATGATCCTAAGAATTTCTGGGCTTTCCAAATTTTTGAAAAGTGGTATGTGATCTTTAACAGATTTTAAGTTAGATCTTGAAACAGATTTTCATACGAAAGTGACATGATGGTTCTTCCTGTTCAGAAATTTTCAGTGAAGGTCTAAGCACTGCAGAATTCTATTCATTGCTGGTTCTTTATTTTTAAAAATTAAATATTTACGTTTAATACATTCAATTATAATGTTTCTGTAAATGCCTCTTAAGTTGTTCTGAGTGGAAAAACAGTCTTAAGATCGTGTGCTTTGGAGTTTTGGCAAGCTTTCAGAATAAAAATTGCTTCTTGTCTGGAGTAGGATTGGTCACCTTAGTAATTGTGTCACCCAAGGAAGTCCCTTTACTCAAAAAAAAAAAAAAAATCTCCTGATTTAGTTAACATTTACTTTGTTGAAATCAGTCTTTGAAATATGAACTATTTTAGTACTCTTTAAAAGTCATTATTTTTCTATTAAACCAAAAGAGTTTAGTTTTTTATTAAACCAAAAGAGTTTAGTTTGTGAGAGGAAGAAACAATTGGAACTAAGTTGAACTTTCTGGGTTGAAAATGTAGTAGAAAGTGAACAGATGTTATAAGCGAAAACAAATTTTCTTTCCATTGCTGGAGCTACTTACTAGTGAAAAGAAATGTGCAAAATAATGCTTGTTAATTTCTCAGGTAGTCAAATTGAGGTGTATTTGTCAATCAGTAGAGTCAACCTTCTAGACAGTTTCAGGGGTGGAAGATGTTTTTGTTTTACTCACTTGACAGTAAGCAAATACTTTTAGTGTATAAAATTGTTTTGAATGACAGTATTTTTTTTGTTTTATTGTAAAATATATTTTAATAGTAAAATTACTGTAACTAATCTGTGCCTACACAAACAGCAAGCCATTGTAATTTCTAATCAAAGTGATTATTTTCTCTCAAATTAAGATTTGGTTTGATTTACAGGTAAACAGTGTTGATCTCAGAGCTGCCAGTCATGAGCAGGCAGCAGCCGCATTGAAAAATGCTGGCCAGGCTGTAACAATTGTTGCACAATATCGACCTGAAGGTAATAAAATTCTTGCTATGATTACTGTTCTTTTCAGTTTTTAAAATTCTTCCTCTTGATAATGTTTAATATCCAAAAAGCCACACAATTTTTTTAAATCAGATCGTATTTATTAATGTCAAGTTTTAAGTTATGTTTCTAATAATTCCTATTGCTTTTTAAAATGAAAAGAAAAGTGCAAGTTTGAGATATAATGTGTTTCTAGATAGTAAAATCTCATTGACATGACTACTAATTCCTGGGGGAAGAAAGAGGTAATGGAAACTTTGAGGTAACATCATATTAAACATATATAAGGCTACAGTGTGCATCAATATAATCATTTTTCCAGTAAATCCTCAGTGGAATTTAAAAAGCTCAAACACCCAAAAGAATACAGAGTGTACTTCTTGATGTTCATAAACAACATGATGAAGGAAAACATGATGTGATGAAGGGGCTAAATGAAATACTGTTTATAATTTAGAAACCTTGCACAATTTAGGAATTAAATGAAACATTTTATAATTAGCAAAGTTACATTTATTTTTCTTTTCTTAGGATAGAATTTATTTTTGTAATACACCCCCACCTTTTTTAAGCTGATGAAAGTAGCATATTGGGCATTGCTTGGCATTCCATAATATGCAGTAGGTTCTCTCAGTCTAGTAAATGTCAACTTTTTAGGTTCAGTAGTTGAAAAGGATAAATTCCAAACAAATTCACTGTGAGCCAAAACAGTAGGAACTAACATAGAAAGTCAGAATGCCAATTCATTGATTTTTGTGAAAAACAAATCTCCCAATGTGGCTATACATGCTTTTATCTTCTGGCCAACACAGTCCCACCCAATAAGTACATTATGTAAGAGGCTAAATACAATCACTGGTTGTTTGATTTTATAGACAGCCTCTCCGTATACGTTTAGAAAGATATGACTTTTTACCGAGCACAGTAGCTTGGAAGCCTGAGGCAAGTGGTTCGAAAGTTCAATACCAGCCTCAGCAGAAAAGCCCTAAGCAACTCATCAAGACCTTCTCGCTAAATAAAATATTAAAAAGGGCTGTGGATGTGGCTCAGTGGTCAAGTGCCTGCCCCTAGGTTCAATCTCTAGTACTTAACTAAAAAGCTATATCTTTTTTCCTTCCTTCCTTCCTTCCTTCCTTCCTTCCTTCCTTCCTTCCTTCCTTCCTTCTTCCTTCCTTCCTTCCTTCCTTTTTGATAAAGTGTTAGTCATTATCTGCTTCCTGATCTCCCTAGAAAACACATAAAAGCAACAAGGAGGATAAAACATAAAACATACACAAATACTTTTGTCCACACAGTCATACCTCATGTTAAGCAAAACTGCAAAGACATGTTATTACCTGGACAACAAAATATAGGCAAGGCTGCTTAAACAAAGCTTACTGGCTGCAGAATCCAGGAGGGAAAGAGTAAAATCGAGTTGTTCTGGGCTGGGGTTGTAGTGCAATGGTAGAGTGCTTGCCTAGCATGTGTAGGGTACTTGGTTTGATTCTCAGCATCACATATAAATAAATAAAATAAAGGTCCATTGACAGCTAAAAAAAATTTTTTTAAAAACATGAGTTGTCAGTAATGCTCTATATAGTAAAACTTAGAATATGATACAAAAGTGTACTTCCTAAAGGCAAGGGATTCATTTTTGAGGTGTAACAACATGATTCCTTCTATTTTATAACAAGCCTCATGAGAATGTGGGAAGTAGACTAAAATAGAAACCATTCATGATATCGTTTTGTTTAGATAACTAGAGGACCCATATTTGGGTAAAGCAATCTTTGTTAAAGCCTGTGACAGTCTTTGTTAAAGCTTGTGAAAATTACCTGTGCTTCTGTTTCCCCTCTACCCCAAGCTTTCTGCAAATAGCTGATCCAGCACAATACAATTTATTCATAATAGATAATATAAAAGTAACTAGCCTGGCATTCATAAAAAATATTAATAAGAAGGATAGAAAATTACACATATATACTCATATACAGATATAATAAAATATTGACACAGATGAATTTTTTTAACCTTAATGTCATTAGCAATTTATGGATTTACTTTGCAAGAAGACTACACAGTAGAAATAAGAATCCCAGGAAAAAATGACTTAATAACCAAAAGAGACTCACTTTGAGCTAGCAGTACCCAGGAAAGAACAAAGCAAAGCAGTTAGTGAAATTGGAACACAAAGACAGAGATACTGCAGAAACTCAGTTGGGGATCTTAAGGATACAATATGAAGAGTAAATAAAATGAAAAGAAAAATGAGGAGACTCTAAAAAGATTAGAAAGAAAATATTGGCAATGGAAGACAATTATATCTATGCAATGTGTATGTGTATATACACACACAAACACACACACGTATGTAAATTAGACTCCCAGAAGAATATTTTTAAAAGGAAGAGAAGGTTTGAAATTATAACTCAGTGCATCAAGAAAGCTTTTCTTGAAATTAAAAGAAGTGAATCTTTTTTGAAAGGGAACAGCATAACCTATGGAAACCCAGAATGGCCAAAATTTTGACATTCTAGTTATGTTTATCAAGAAAGTATCTTTGAGACCCAAGCAAAAATACAAAATTACTTATAAGGGGATAAAAAATTGGTTAATAGAAAGAAGGACTGTTCCAATGCCTGATAAGTTAGTGGCTCTTAATTGGACTTAATGTACCCCTCTATGTACTAAATATACTTGCCTCTGATAGATGGCAAGGACTCTTTTCCCCCAGATAGTTATAAGTTCAGGAATTTCCCTCTTGGATTATCCTTACTGTGCTTGTGCTGTTATTTTTTTGTTTTTGTTCCTTTTTGTGATTTCTGTACTTCTTTGAATCTTTCAGCTCAATACTCTTTTTTAATTGTATTTTGTACTATTCTAATCTTGATAAAGAACAATTTTTATATCAATGATAATTTTCATAGTCTTAATATTGCAAATGAGTATCTAGTTGATTATTCTTATATGTGTATATTCTTTCCAAACATCTCCTAAACACCACCAAACATATCAGTCCTATTTGATTTCTTCAGCATTTCTCCCTGGTGTTTCAAATTTAAAACTAAGCCTGAACTTAATTCTTCTTCTGTCTCAGTAAATGGCATCTCCATTCACACTTAAGTCAGAAACCTAGGAATCATCCTTGGCTTCTTTCTGTTCTACAACATCGTGATGACAGCCACTAGCCTAGCCAAAGCCTGAATTGCTCTAATAGTCCTTAACAAGCCTCCGCACTCTTTCTTTCTTTTCTCCAATCCATTTTCTGTTCATCAGCCAAATGATTTTTTTTTAATACAATGATTGAGTTGTATCGTTCCCTATGTAAAACATTTCCCATTGTACTCTGAATAAAATCCAAACCCTTTAGTAGAGATGTAAGGCCTTTTGTGATTGTGCACAGCACAATACACATGGCTTTACTGCATGACCTCCACCCTCTCTTTTCCTCCTTAAGCTCTAACCATACAGTCCTCCTTTGAAATCCTCATCTAAACCCAATTATTTCCTAATTCTCTGCTTACTGTGTTCTTTCTCATTCTATTCTTTTTCCGTATTCTTGAGATGACTGGCTCCCTCTCAGAGCACTGTAATTTTTTTCTTTTTATGAGTTTAGCATAGTTTGTAAGTGTCTGTTTATGTTCCTATTTGCTTATTGTTTATTTCAATTTTACCTAAATAAATGTATTCCATTGCCTAATAACCTCAAAGTAAGTATCAGCAGAGTATGAAATGTAAGAACTGCCTTAGAAATTCCAAAGGAGGAAGATTTTATTGCTTAGCATGATAAAAGATGACAGAATAGGATTGGTGCTTAAGTGGACACCTGAGCAATGGATAGGATTTAGATGAGAATAAATAATATCCTAGGTCAAGAATAACAAAAGACCAAAGGGAGAACAATTAAAATTTTAAAATATGCTTTGGTTATTTTGAAAACTGGCCTTTCTTCCTTGTACCTTACTTCTGCTTATAGGCAGTGACATTGTAGGTTCACATTTTGTTTTAATATTAGTTACATATTTTTGACAGATGCATTTTTGTTCTATGGAACTTTTTTTTAAAAACACACTCTATATCATCAAAGTAACTTCTGTGAGGGCCAAGGATATAAAGTGAAGACTCACAGTTTCTTTCTCAGTGAATTGGCCATTTTAAGAAGTAAAAAAGTTACCTGATACTTCAATAATTGTTGTCTTTACAGTTAGTATCTTTATTAAAAATGAATCCCTTAGAATTCACTGCTTCATTAATAATCTGACATACATAAAAATACATACAAACAGAAAAATAAGTTAAGCTTTTGTTAGGGTTAATTTTTTATCTTTCAGGATCTGTGGCTTGCCTTTTAATCTTCCATAAAGTACTATTACAGGTTTTTATGTCTGAATTCTTTGAACTTTCATGTCTTAGATTCTAAATAGGAGAAAAAAATAATCTCTATAAGACATTTAAAAGGATCTTATATCCCAATTCTTTATAATTTTGTTAACTCCAAAAACTTAAACATGAAAATTAGAAGTACCATAATAGTTTTAATCCATAACCAGAAATTATAAGTTTTAAACACTTCCTAGTCAGTAGTTCAAGAATCTTCTGTGAATTGATGATAGAATATAATAATAAAAATTGTGTGTCATGTATGATACTAACCTTGTTAAATTTATTTGCTCTTTGTTCCACTGCTAATCCTATGAAGACACTGTTACCCCATTTTACATTGTAGTTGGGTAAACTCAGATACGGAGAGGCTAAGCAGTTTACTAGTTACACAACTGTTAAGTGGTTAAGATTTCCTCTATGCTGGGATTGTGACTCATCAGTAGAGTACTACACCTATCAGTGTAAGGCACTGGGTTTGTTCCTCGGCACTATATAAAAATAAATAAGTAAAAGAGGTATTGTGACCACCTACAACTAAAAAAAAATAAATAAATTTAAAAAAGGTTTCTTCTAGCTCTTTGTAAGGGAAAACTTTTCCTTTACACTAAGGTTCAGGAAAGGGGCAG